ACTATGGCTGAACAATGACAAATGGAAGTTCGATTGTAAGAAGCATTTGACTCATACGGCAGAGGAGGACTAATGAAAGTAAGGTATGAGTTTAGGAGATAAAAGAAAATATTAACATTATGGGACATCTCTGAACACAGAATGTTTGTTAGGTCTTAAGGCTCGTTGATGGCCTGCTTTGGCCTGTTGCACGGGTCCCACGCTAGCTGCCCGATCATGGCTTTTTGCTAGGGATTCTCCGGGGTTCTCCGTGTCTGAAGAAAACCTCAAGGGTTTGCCGTCCTCCGTCTGGCAGTTTGGCTGTTTTCAGGTTTCATTCGTTGTAGCTGGCGAGACCACGTGTCTTGGTCTGACCTCGGTGAAGTTGGCTCGACGAAAAAGCTTAAAAGGGAACTTGGTCGTTCCTGAATTAGTCCAGTGTAACTTAACAGACTGATAACTTTAACAAAACAAAAGAAAGAAAGAAAATAAAACAAACTGAGGGGCAGATCAATGTCACGGCACTTCGCGTGTGTAGCTTCAAGAGAACAAAGGCCTCGTTGCGCTGGTCGAACTCTTAGGGCGTTGCCTGGAGAGGCACGCCGGACGCGTGCCGAAGCGTTCATAGAGCAGAGCGGAAGACCAAAGCACGAGGGGAAGAGAAGAGCAGAGAGAGAGCGATGTCGTGTGTCGCGCTTTTGTTGTCTGGGGCGTGGTTCCCCCAGGGGGCGTTTCAGGTTTCCTGAGGGACTGCCTTTCTAAACTTTTAATGTCTAAAAAGAAAGTCTATTTGCGCGTATTATAATCAAATATTTTCCACAATCAAACCTCAATGGTCAAATGGTTGTACCGTTCTAAGCTAAACGTTTGGTAACAGGAAAACAATTGTCACATTATTTTTCAGGATAAGTGGGTGACATTTATGCGGCATTTCCGACGATGGTGTGTAATACTTATTTCGTCCACTTGGGGGAGCTCAGGTTACATGAGGAAAGCTTAGATTAACCCAAAACAATCTTTCCTTTGGAACTGGGGAATTCAGCATTAAATTCAAGCTGGATAATTAATATACAGTGGGTACGGAAAGTATTCAGACCCCTTTAAATTTTTCACTCTTTGTTTCATTGCAGCCATTTTCCAAAAATCAAAAAAGTTCATTTTATTTCTCAGTAATGTACACTCAGCACCCCATCTTGACAGAAAAAAAACAGAAATGTAGAAATTTTTGCAAATTTATTAAAAAAGAAAAACTGAAATATCACATGGTCATAAGTATTCAGACCCTTTGCTCAGTATTTAGTAGAAGCACCCTTTTGATCTAATACAGCCATGAGTCGTTTTGGGAAAGATGCAACAAGTTTTTCACATCTGGATTTGGGTATCCTCTGCCATTCCTCCTTGCAGATCCTCTCCAGTTCTGTCAGGTTGGATGGTAAACATTGGTGGACAGCCATTTTCAGGTCTCTCCAGAGATGCTCAATTGGGTTTAAGTCAGGGCTCTGGCTGGGCCATTCAAGAACAGCCACGGAGTTGTTGTGAAGCCACTCCTTCGTTATTTTAGCGGTGCGCTTAGGGTCATTGTCTTGTTGGAAGGTAAACCTTCGGCCCAGTCTGAGGTCCAGAGCACTCTGGAAAAGGTTTTCGTCCAGGAGATCCCTGTACTTGGCCGCATTCATCTTTCCCTCGACTGCAACCAGTCGTCCTGTCCCTGCAGCTGAAAAACACCCCCACAGCATGATGCTGCCACCACCATGCTTCACTGTTGAGACTGTATTGGACAGGTGATGAGCAGTGCCTGGTTTTCTCCACACATACCGCTTAGAATTAAGGCCAAAAAGTTCTATCTTGGTCTCATCAGACCAGAGGATCTTATTTATCACCATCTTGGAGTCCTTCAGGTGTTTTTTAGCAAACTCCATGCGGGCTTTCATGTGTCTTGCACTGAGGAGAGGCTTCCGTCGGGCCGCTCTGCCATAAAGCCCCGACTGGTGGATTGCTGCAGTGATGGTTGACTTACTACAACTTTCTCCCATCTCCCGACTGCATCTCTGGAGCTCAGCCACAGTGACCTTTGGGTTCTTCTTTACCTCTCTCACCAAGGCTCTTCTCCCCCGATAGCTCAGTTTGGCCGGACGGCCAGCTCTAGGAAGGGTTCTGGTCGTCCCAAACGTCCTCCATTTGAGGATTATGGAGGCCACTGTGCTCTTAGGAACCTTAAGTGCAGCAGAAATTTTTTTGTAACCTTGGCCAGATCTGTGCCTTGCCACAATTCTGTCTCTGAGCTCTTCAGGCAGTTCCTTTGACCTCATGATTCTCATATGCTCTGACATGCACTGTGAGCTGTAAGGTCTTATATAGACAGGTGTGTGGCTTTCCTAAACAAGTCCAATCAGTATAATCAAACACAGCTGGACTCAAATGAAGGTGTAGAACCATCTCAAGGATGATCAGAAGAAATAGACAGCACCTGAGTTAAATATGAGTGTCACGGCAAAGGGTCTGAATACTTATGACCATGTGATATTTCAGTTTTTCTTTTTAATAAATTGGCAAAAATTTCTACATTTCTGTTTTTTTCTGTCAAGATGGGGTGCTGAGTGTACATTACTGAGAAATAAAATGAACTTTTTAGATTTTTGGAAAATGGCTGCAATGAAACAAAGAGTGAAAAATTTAAAGGGGTCTGAATACTTTCCGTACCCACTGTAGTATGACATTTCTTTATCATCATTTATCACTAATGGAATTGTGTGAGAAAGTATTGTGAACAAGCATTGGTTACACATTAAATGAAGGATTGTCCTTAATCTTGCTGAAAATAAAAACACTGCAAAAGTAACTTATTTAGATTCTTTTCAGCACTAATATCAACAACAGATAGCAACAACATGGTAACATAACTACTCAAATAGAGGCAAACATAATCAAGTAACTAAAAGATTTAAACAGTTAAGGCTTTGGGGTCTTTGGAGACTGCAGTCTTTGGTTATTTAAAGTTCGGCTGTCCTGGATTATGTCACACTTAGGCGTAAAAGGGGGTATCCCTTTGATGGGGTAATGAAACACAGAGCAAGGTCAGTTGCCACGGTTACATGTGTGTGTGTGGGTGTGTGTGTGTGTGTGTGTGGGGGGGGGGGGGTAGGATTTCCTGCCTTTCTAATAGGCTCTCTGGTTAATTTCCCTTTTGTCAGTTTAACAGTCAGTCACCGCGTTATCAGCTTCGGAATAAAAACATTTTTGTTTTATGATCAGGCTGCTCAGGGATAGCACTTAGAGAAAGCAACTTTCCAACCCCCTTCTGTTGGGTTCTCATCAGCAGTCTGTTAAAGTTGATCTTTAACACCCCTGCTCCTCTCTGGGAGAGGAAAAGAGGAATTTGGAGTAGCTCAAAATTTATTTAATATAAAATGCACAAATCCACAATGTTGTCCCATTACATACACATAGAGTCCATTAAAGGGCGGAGCCTGTGTAAGAGAACTGACTTGTTTCTGTTTTAACAACAGTTAAAGCATCCAACTGCCGCATACAATCCCCAACAGCGCAAGTCAGGGCTTCAGTTTTTAACATTACATAGCTTACTGAAACTACTGTATATGTACGCTTAGGTATAAACTGTATGCAACTCACAGCGTGAGGTGGGTCCACGTCACTCACTGGTGTCGCAGCAAAGTTGCTTTAAATGTGCGATAACAAGACATTCATGGTGTATTCCTCAGAGAAATAAACACATTTCCAAGAATACCAAGAAAGAGAACATCAATTTTACTGAGATTACACAGTAAACACCATGTGGGTAAAATCTTACAGATTATAGACTTCCCGCTCCCGTGAAGGCAGCACAGAGCTGCACCACAAGTAGCTGACGGAGAAAAAATACACAGTCTCGTCCAGTCGCAGTGGACTAAATGGGCAGGTTTGAATGTTACACACCGCAGTTTAAAGTAGTTCAAAGTTTAAACTCATATTGTTGTGAATCTTTGGTGTAATCTCGTCTTAGAATTTCCAACTAACAAATGTTCCCCAAAAGCAGCTCAGTGCCCCCCTTTCCAAATTATTGATTCCAGGGCCCCCCATCGTCCTTGAAACGCCCCCTGGGGGCCGTTGAGAAACACTACAGTATATAATGAAAAACAAAGAAAAAAACATAAAAATAATACAGTTGTGATAATGATATAAAATTCAATCAAGCTGATGAAAATACATTTATGACTTGGGAACTCAAGGCAAAGGCTCAGACCATGTAATGAATGTGTATATGTGCATATACTTACTTGGGCCTTTTGTTGTAGGTCGCAATGTGAGAGATGTTTTGGAGAGATGGTGATGGTTTACATGGAAAGAAGAATATTTTGAATTCAATATTTTGTTTATATTTCAGTTGCGTGATATGTCATAACTAAAAATAAAATGAAACACATTTCTCATTATTATCATTATTTTATACAAAGAAATTAAGGAATAATAATGACAAGGAATGTCATGTTAACATATTGTTAAAGTTCCTTTTGAAACTGGTCAGAAAAAAACATGGAAGAAGAAAAGCCTCCATGACATTAACTTAATAACGTGAACATGTTCAAATGTAAAAAGGATAAAGCTAATACACAATAGTCAAACATCTTACCAGTGACTGCAGTAAAGTTTACTCCACTGCTTCTGACGTTCTCAAACACAGAGTAGAGAGTGAATGTGTATGTAGTTGCAGCAGTGAGAGATGAGACTGTGTGAGTTACTGGTCCATCTCCATCTGGTGCAGTGATGTTGATCTCTGCATCATTAAACTGGAGAATAAAGTTCACGTTGTTCTTCACTTTATTCCACTGCAGAGTGATACTGGTCTCATCTTGTCCTATTGATATGACGCTTTCTGCTTTTGGAGGAGCTGAGACAAAAAGAGCAGTGAAACATGGATTAAGAAATGACTGTCGCTAAAAGTGATGTCTGTTGTTTTTCCCTCTTACAGCTAAAGAAGGTTCATTTTGTATCCCCACAGTCACAGGTTTGGGTTTGTTGTGTGTTTTTGTAATTTGTTTCAATTCCATTCAATCTAGCTTTATTGCCATGAATGTGTTCATATCCTGCGCTTGTGTTTTCTCATATCTGTAGTATGTTGTATGTTGTTGTATGTCTGTGTTTTATGCTTTCTTTTGAAGGTTTTATTTTCGTGACATTAGTCCTTGTGTTTCTGTTAGCTTTACTTCCTGTTTTAGTTTGTAGGCTGCTCCTAGTGTTTCTTGTCATGTTTTTTCCTGTGTTTCTCTGTTCTCTCTGATTGTGTGAGTAGTGTCACCTGTGTGTAATTAGTTTCCACTGTGTATTTAAATGGTTGTCTTTCTGTTGTGGCCAGTTCATTGTTGATTTTGTGTGTGTTGTTTCCAGCGTTGACTTATACTTTAGTTGGACCTTTGGATTACTCACCCCTTTGTGTTTTAGGGCTGTTCACACCACACTACCGGTAATTTTCACCATTAATTTTTTTGCAAATAAATCTCACCTATTCACCAGGGCCTTGTTTCAGAAAGCAGGTTTAACAAACTCTGAGCCTATCCCTGAGCTCTGAGTTGACTGAGCCTGAAATGTAAAACAACTTTTCGGTTTCAGAAAAGCCGATCAGAATAAGCTCAGTCAACTCTGAGTATGTTGAACCTGATGGAAGCACATGTGTGGGGATGAAAAAAATGGAGCTCCAATACTACGAATCCCTATGGCAACGGGTAAATTAAGGCAGAGCCTCCATTTTAATCGGGTGGAGCTAGAAATATGAATGTGTGCCAACGCGGACCATGATATGGTATTTATGTTAAAACGCGGAAGTGGAGGAAGGATCAATACATTAACAAGATTACATTTTATCCAGCATTGCTCATTCATCATTTACCACTCTAGGATTACCTTAATGATAAAGTGCTGGAATTCTCCTAAAGTTCATTACATTCATTTTAAATAGGTTGCAGGCCTATTTATTTAGCTGTAACCTGAAGGGACAAAATGCCAGTGGCAATAACTGAAGATGAAAATATTAATTAAACAGATTAGACATAGTTTGGTACTCCTGGCCTGTGATTTTATAGTCACGGTCCGACTGAGTAGGTTAGCCTATTTTTTGCAGTGGAAAATGTGTTCAAACTGACTCTAAAGTTTTAGATGTCTATTTTACCTTAATAAAATTACAGTCATATTTTACATTTTGTATTTTATGAAATGCTATGAAAACACATTCAGACTATGCAGCTAATAGCCTAATGAGAAACTCACTTTTAAACTACATTTAGGCCCATTTGTTTCAGCTGCACCACAGTCATCCTCACTCAAATAGTCACATTATCTCTAGTTGATAACTATGAATAACTATGTTCTGATAAGTGTGACTACAATATGAAAGATTACTGTTGATAATTTTTATACTGATTAGTTTAAACAGTGATTTCTGCAGTAATGTAGCTCACAGTAAGTGTTTTTGTGAAAATGTTTCCAACCTAACAGCTGCGTTATGTCCATAGAGTGTTATAAAGAAGGACAGTGTAGCCCATAGATTTTATTCTGTGCTGAGGATAAATCCACAATGTGCGGAGATAACGCTCTTTCCTTACATTGATACCAGTTTGTTTGAGATAATTTTTGGGTGAAAAAACAAATAACATTGAAATCCCGGTTACATAGGCTAAGACGTAAATGTGTTCCAAAATTCAATTCAATTCTATTTATATAGCGCCAAATCACAACAACAGTTATCTGACAGCGCTTTTCATAAAAGAGCAGGTCTAGACCGTACTCTATGATGTTATTTAAAGAAGCGCAACAGTTCCCACCAAGAGCAAGCACTATGCGACAGAGGCAAGGAAAAACTTCCTTATAAGAGGCAGAAACCTCGAGCAGAACCATGGCTCAGGGTGGGCGGCCATCTGCCTCGACCGGTTGGTGGTGAAGAGAGAGAGGGGGAGATAGAGAGGGAGAGGGCAAGAGAGGAACAGAGAGAAAAAGAGGGATGGAAGGAGAGAGAGAGGGGAGGGAGGCAGCCTACACAATATAAACACACAGAGGTACAGACAGTAAAGGTGATGTTGCTATAGACTAAATGAAAAATGGTATAGATATTTATAGTAGTGTTAATGATAACAATGATTATAATAACAATAATAATAATAATAGGACTAGTAACAATAGTTGTTGGCTGGGTGTCGAGCAGGAACACGGGGGCAGCAGGTGACCCGCAGCCACAGATCCAGACTCAGAGCCAGAAAACCTGCAGGAAGTGATAGGAGGAGAGACGAGAGGGACGAGAAAGCACAAGACTACCGGAAAGGGGAGAAGTTGTGTTAGTAACATGCAATAATGGGTTGAGGCTGTATACACAGGGAGGGGAAGTAGAGGAGAGAGGAGCTCAGTGCATCATGGGAAATCCCCGGCAGTCTAGGCCTATAGCAGCATAACTAAGGGATGGTTCAGGACTAACCTGAACGGACTTTTTCGAGCAGCCTGATAATAAGGAATTGCAGTAATCCAGCCTAGAAGTAACAAATGCATGGACTAGTTTTTCTGCATCATTTTTAGACAGGATGTTCCTGATTTTCGAAATATTACGTAGGTGAAAAAAGGCGGTCCTTGAAATTTGCTTAATGTGAGACTTAAACGACATGTCCTGATCAAAGATAACTCCAAGATTCCTTACAGTGGTGCTGGAGGCCAGGGCGATGCCATCAAGGGAAACTATATCTTTAGATAATGCGTCACAGAGGTGCTTAGGCCCCAGAACAATAACTTCAGTTATATCTGAGTTTAACATTAGAAAATTACAGGTCATCCAGGTTTTAACATCCTGAAGGCACATTTGAAGTTTAGCTAACTGATGAGTTTCATCTGGCTTGATCGATAGATATAACTGAGTATCATCTGCATAACAATGAAAGCTTATGGAATATTTCCTGATAATATTGCCTAAAGGAAGCATATATAAAGTGAAGAGGATTGGTCCGAGGACAGATCCTTGTGGAACTCCATGACTAACTTTGGCACGCATGGAGGACTCATCGTTAACATGTACAAACTGAAATCGATCTGATAAATAGGACTTAAACCAGCTTAGAGCGGTTCCTTTAATGCCAATGAAATGTTCCAGTCTCTGCAATAGGATCTGATGGTCAATGGTATCAAATGCAGCACTAAGATCTAATAAAAACAGTACAGAGACAAGTCCTTTGTCTGATGCAATAAGGACGTCATTTTCACCAGTGCTGTCTCTGTGCTATGATGAGCTCTAAATCCTGACTGAAAATCCTCAAATAAACTATTGCTCTGTGGAAAGTCTGGCTACAGTGCTGAAAGAAACCTGGGGTTGCTCCTATTTTCCTCTATTAAAGACGAGTAGTACGCTGCTCTGGCATTACGGAGGGCCTTCCTATAAGTTTTAAGACTATCTTGCCAAATTAAACGAGAATTTTCCAGTTTGGTGGAATTCCTCTGAAGTTTCTGCGATATTTGCTTTAATTTGCGAGTTTCAGTATTATACCATGGAGCTAACCGTCTTGGTTTTATTATTTTCTTTTTTAGAGGGCTACAGAGTTGAGTGTCATTCGCAGCGAGCCTGCAGCACTATCAACAAGATGATCGATTTGGGAGGGACTGAAATTAGCATAGGAGTCCTGTGTCATTTGTTAGTCCTGAGTCCTGTGTTACTTTGTGACTTGATAATGAATTTAGAGCTGATGGAATCGCATCCTTAAATTTAGCTATGGCACTATCAGTCAGACATCTTGTATAGAAATTTTTGCCCAATGGCGTGTAGTTCAGCAATACAAACTCAAAAGTTATCAAACAGTGGTCGGATAAAGAGGGATTCTGTGAGAACACTATTAAATGTTCAGTTTCAATACCATACACCAGAACAAGGTCGAGGGTGTGGTTAAAACAGTGAGTCGGTTCATGAACACTCTGAGAGAAGCCAATGGAATCTAACAGAGAGATAAACGCAGTACTAAAGCTGTCATTCTCAACGTCCACATGAATATTAAAAGGACTAAAGTTGACAAAAACTCTGCAAATTCAGATAAGAATTCAGAGCACGGACTAGGTGCGCGGTACGCTATAACGAAAAGGTTGCAGTGATTTCCAACTGGGGTGCGAAAGACTAAGAACAAGGCTTTCAAATGAGTTATAGTTTAGTTTAGGTTTAGATCTGATTAGTAGGCTAGAGTCAAAGATAGCTGCAACTCCACCTCCTCGGCCTGTGCCTCGAGGAATGTGAGTATTAGTATGACTGGGAGGGATGGATTCATTTCGGCTAACATATTCTCCATCACCCAGCCAGGTTTCAGTAAGACAAAATAAATTAATATCATAATCTGATATTAGTTAATTTACTAGTACACCTTTAGAAGAGAGAGATCTGATACATTTATTTTTCCTATTAGTTTGCACTATTTCTCTTGTGGTTTTAATTTTTATGAGGTTTTTATGTACAGCTCCTCTTTTGTTTAACTTTTTAAATAATTTCGATGGTCGGGGGACAGACACCGTCACTATAGGATTTTCATGGATGCCGTGACGACATGCAGCTATACATGTCGTCACTGGTCAGATTTGGCAGGGGTGCAGAGAAAACTACAGTGCCCGACATTGTTTTTGCATATGTACACACCGACTCAACATTAATCTTAGTGACCTCCGATTGGCTTAACAGGGAGTCATTACCGCCGACGTGAATAACAATCTTACTGTATTTATGTTTATCCTTAGCCAGCAGTTTCAAATAAAACTCAGTGTCCCCTGCTCTGGCCCCAGGGATGCGCTTAACTATGGCCGCTGGCTTTGCTAACTTCACGTTTCTCAAAATGGAGCTGCCAATGATCAGAGTTGGTTTCTCAGCGGGTGTGTCGGTGAGTGGGGAAAATCTGTTAGAGACGTGAACAGGTTGATGATAATCTGTGGGCTTTGAATGCTTACGACTATTCCTCCTTCGGACAGTCACCCAGCCCCCCCTTCCTGGCTGCACAGGAAATCCTGGAGGACGGCTACCAGAGGCTACCTCAGGCCGTTCTGCACCGACTACCGGGGACTGGCTAGCTACAGTAGCTAAAGACTGATCTACCAAGGTGCGGAGCCGGACTTCTAAATCACTGAGCCTCACCTCCATGTCTATAAATAAACTACACTGGCAGGCAGGAGGCAGAAGCCATTGCTAGCTGCTGAGCTAAAGTCGCTAAAGGCTAAGCTAAAGTACTGTAGTGTCAGCTACCAAACTTTTGAAAACAACTATGAGATTAAACAGCAGTCACTAAAGATGGAAAGAACTGTGAGTGCTTAGGCAAAATTACTGTAAGAATAAGTGTTTAGCGGACAGTTGGCCGCTGTAATCTAACAAATTAAACTGGTATTTAGTGAGCGCAGCACAACACGGTACCAACACACAAGCACCGGAAACGGAAATGAGTCGACACGCTTACCGCAGTACGTCAGCAACCTCGTGATTCAATATGTGCTTTGATATTGACAGTGTGAATGAGGAAATGTCAGAACTTCAGGCTCTGCAGGAGGGAGGAGTCAGAGTGAAACTTATCTGATCTTGGTCTCTTAAACTGAAAACCCTTTACTTTATATGACAACCGTTATGTACTCCACAATTTATGAAGAATAACGTCACAAAAGTTAAATTTATCATTCTCAATGTAAAAATTATTACAGTGGCTCGCAAAGTAGATACAGAGTATAGAAATAAATATTTTACCGGTAACTGCAGTAATGTTTACTCCACTGCTTCTGACGTTCTCAAACACAGAGAAGAGAGTGAATGTGTATTTAGTTGCAGCAGTGAGAGATGAGACTGTGTGAGTTACTGGTCCATCATCATCTGGTGCAGTGAGGTCGATCTCTGCACCATTAAACTGGAGAATAAAGCTGATGTTGTTGTTCACTTTATTCCACTGCAGAGTGATACTGGTCTCATCTTGTCCTATTGATCTGAAGTTTTCAGTTTTTGAAGGAGCTGAGACAGAAGGAGAGAAGTAAATTAATTTATTAAGCAACTTTGTGTGAAAAATTCACACTCAGTCTGGCTATTAAGGTCATTCCATTTTGTATCCCATTGTTAACAAAACCTAATGGTGCCTATGAGAGATACATATTTGTATTAGCAAGAATGTTGTGTCACATTTTATACCTAACCACATCATTGTGTTTCACAAGACATGTAATGAACAATAAATCGAGAATTAAAAATTCATAGGACTTGAATATGGTAACTAACTAGGGGGAAATAATAGTTGAATGTTTGGCCAATACAGGATTTGATTTGAAGTACAGAGCAGGACAGTTTTACACAGTCACACTGAGTTTATTTAAGATTTGTTGACTGTTGATGCAACACACATAATGTACTTCATGCATCATGTTGACATAATCACTGATGTAACTGCTATTCCCAAATGATACACACCAATTACAAATCAGTCGTCTGTTGAAGTTTTATAGATGAAGTCATCTATATCTTTAGGAACTTAAATTTAAATACCGTGCTGATTTGAC